GCTCTGACCTTTATTACTTCCTTTCTTCTATTTTGGATTTCATTTTCTCTTCTTTTTAGTTTTCTTAAGATGAAAGGTACAGTCACTGACTTAGACCCTTTTTTCCTAATTTTATTATATGCGCTGCCGAAGCGAGCACGAGGCTCTTTTTTTTTTTTTTAAGATTTTATTTACTTATTTGAGAGAGAGAATGAGAAAGAGAGAGCACATGAGAGTGGGGAGGGTCAGAGAGAGAAGCAGACTCCCCGCCGAGCAGGGAGCCCGATGCGGGACTCGATCCCGGGACTCCAGGATCATGACCTGAGCCGAAGGCAGTCGCTTAACCAACTGAGCCACCCAGGCGCCCGAGGCTCTTTTTTTCTAAAGTAGGCATTTTGTGCTATAAAATTTCCACAAGGTACTGTTTTAGCGCCATCCCACAAATTACATGTGTTTTCTTTTTAATTGGGTTCAAAATACTTTTTAATTTCCTATTTCAGTTCTTTGATTCGTGTGTTATTTAGAAGTTTGTTTAGTGTCCAGTGATTGCATTTTCCAGAGGTGTTTCTGTTACTGATTTCTAATTTCACTCCACTGTGGTCAGAGAACCATACTTTGACTTGAAACTTTTTAAATTTATTAAGACCTGTTTAATAGCCTATCTTGGTAAGTGTTCATTTGCATTTGAAAAGGATGTGCATTCTGCTCTTGTGGGATGGAATGGCAAATGTCAATTAAATCTGGAGGGCTGATAGTTTTGTTCAAATCTTCTATGTTTTTTTTTTTTTAAGATTTTATTTATTTGAGAGAGTGAGAGAGAGAGAGAGCACGAGGCGGTGAGGGGCAGAGGGAGAGGGACAAGTAGACTCCCCGCGGAGCAGGGAGCCCGATGCGGGGCTCGATCCCAGGACCCCGGGACCACAACCTGAGCCGAAGGCAGACGCTTAACCGACTGAGCCACCCAGGCGCCCCTCAAATCTTTTATGTTCTTACTGATTTTCTGTGTACTTGTTCTATTAATTATAGACAAACTATATTCATTTTCCCTTGCAGTGCTATCATTTTCTCCTTAATGTATTTTGAAGCTGTGTTATGAGGTGCGTGAACACCTAGGCTTTTTATGTTCTCCTGATGAATTTGCCTTTGTATGGTATTGATAGAACCACTCCGCCTTTCTACTGGTTAGTGTTAGCATGGTATCTTTTACCATCCTCTTAGTTTTAGCTTATTTGTATCTCTATATTTAGAAGTGGGTTTCTTCTAGGCAGCATCGAGTTGCATTCTTTAATCCCCAAGTTCTGCTCAGGTGTCTGGGATCTTCAAGAACTTTCTAACTCTCCAAGCTACCCATTTCCTTGTAGGAGGTTCTGGTAAGTAGAGCATTGTTCCTCATGATGAGCCCCACCTGCCTTCTTTCACCTCCCCACTGGGGTAACACTTGGAGAATTATTTCCACTTCCTCCCAACAGTTTTTCAGACAACAGGGGCATCCAAACCTCTGGCAACTACTCAGGCAGTGCCGGATCCAGCCACAGTGGATCCATCAGACCCACAGATCACCTCACGGCTGCCTGAGAAGTACCAAAGGGCTCCCTTGGAAAAAGCATGGCGGGGGCGGGGGCAGCAAATAGAAAACGAATTTCTGCAGGGGAGGATCTCATTGATAGGAAAAAACCCCACTTATTTTCCATTTCCAGAAAGTGTGTCCACCAGGAGAGAAAGCCTCGGTGCAACCTTGAGTGGTCAGCCACAGCCCAGGTGGGCCCTTTGGGAGGGCGGAACGCGCCTCTGAAAGAGCGAGGAGCAGTTGCTCTATGCCTAGGATATTCGTTTCCTATTTCTGCTGCTGCAAAGTAGCACCCATTTGGTGGCTTAAACACCAAACACAGATTTATTCTCTTATAGTTCTGTTTGTCAGAAGTCTAAAATCATGGCGTAGGCAGGGCTAGGACCTTAGGAGAGAATTCCTTTCCTGTCCTTTCTCGGTCTCTAGAGGCCACCTGCATCCTTTGGCTCATGGCCTTTCTCAGCATCGCTGCAACCACCTGCTTCCACTGTCACATCGCCTACTGCTACCGAGCCTGCTGCGGATCCTGCCGCTCGCTCTCATAATTACCCTCGCGTTTATACTGGTTGGTCCCGCCTGCATCGTCAGGGATCATCTCCCCACCTCAGGTCCTTCAGCTTAGTTTTATCTGCAAAGTCCCTTTACCGTGCAAGGTAGCACAGTCGCAGGTCTTAGGGATGAGGCATCTTTGGGGGCCATTGTTTCGTCGACCACGCTTAGTTACAGGGTAGACCAGCTTTGCAGAAGGCAAGTCCCCCAGGTCCTCGCTCCCCCGTGAGACCCGTCCCGTCCAGATTGGTGTGAATTCTCTTGCTCTTTGGACGGGGGCCTCTGGACTGTGTGCCTTTGTGTCAGATGACGAGTTCTGGTGCTATCCTCTCTGTCCAGGGTGGCAAGGACCAAGGGTACAGAACTCCTGGGGTTAAACCCTAACTTGGGTGGCTTTCTTCAGGGAGAAGCGGAGCAGGGACACTTAGAGAAGGGCCTTGGGGCATAGAGTCAAGCAAAGTGGCCAAGGGTAAGAGGTGTAGAGGCGATCTCACGGGTTCCAGCCCCAAGCCTGCTGTGTACTAGCTGTGGAGGCTTGAATAACCTGTCTTGACCGTCTGGCCCGTTTTTACATGTGTCACACACAGCTCGGAGTGTCACCTTCGTATGGTTGTCATGAGAACTAAATAGAAGGTGGTTCCCGTAAAAGGGCTCAAGAGTGAGGGCTCAGTGAATGTTGCCATTCTTACTATGTGAAGGCTTGACTGGTCCCAAATGAGTTTCGGGGACCGTCCTACGCAGGGTTTTGGTCTCGGTTGGCTTCCCTAAGGGACCTAAGTAGTTGTCTTGAAACCGCCCTTTAGCCAGCTCTTTGCCAGTGTACTTCCCAGCCCATCTTTGAGGACCGGGTGGCCGGGGGGGGGGGGGACAAGGACGCTGGCACGGATTCTGGCCCTAAGACGCAGGCGGCCCCCGTTTGGTCTTGTTCATTGGTGTCCCGGGCTGATGTGAAGCCGGAGTTTAGCGTGTAACGTGCTCTCCCCTGAGCAGCTCAAAGATCGGAAGCGCTAACCGCCCAAGCGGGAGGGTCTTTCTCTCTTGAAGCTGAGGGGATTATGTCAATGAGGTGCTAATTTTCAAAATGTCAGCAACTCTTAGCTCGAAGTTTCCTCGTCATGTGGAAACAATGGACCCATGTCCCTGTGTGATTTACAGAAGCGATACTCCCGAAGCTCATGCGGACTGGAGGGTGGGGCTGCAGGTGGTTTCCACGCTGAGGTCACTTGCTGTAAGGGGTGCAGCTTCATCAGCCCAGCTCCCCCTCTCCAGCTGGGTTCCAGCAAATCGGCAAGGTGGCGCGGGAGGTGCAGTGAGGGGAGGGGACGGAGACTGAGAGCTTGCGGTGTCAGCCCAAACCCATCTTAACCAGAGGAGAAACGCTCGCTGCTCCGACAGGTTATCTAGACGATTCATAGCTTTAGGGACCTTCAGGCCGAAGAACTCATCATGACCGAACAGGGCCGGGGACACCAGTCTGGGTCTGGAGCCGCCCCCACCTCAACTCACTTCAAGGACAGCTATCCTCACAGCTTCAGGCCATCCGATTATTTCCAATCCCCGAAGGAACACAGGAACGCGAACTGAAATCACAGAAGCCTCCTTTAAAAACAGTGCTGAGGGTCACTGAGTGCTGAGCTCCCTGCGAAGGAGAGACCGCCTCAGGGCACGCCTTTATCAGCTCAAAGTGATTTTGTAAAAAAAAAAAACACACGGTTGCTGCTTTCCATAAAACTTGAGAAGAGCTGAATTAATGCCGTGAAAAGCTAATACATGTTTATTATGAATAAGATACATTTCTGGAAAATATCACATGAAAGTTACTCAGTGGTAAGGTTTTACTCCTATCAAGTGTTTTTTCTCAATTCTTAAGGGTCAGCAAACATGCTGAGGATTGTAAAGCCCAGGAGGGGAAAAAAAACAAAACCCCAGGGTTATGCATCATCTGGTTTATTCTCTGAATTTCAGTTTCTTCAACACAAAGACAAAGGTTTCATCTCCCACTGGCGATAGGGACATTGGAATAAAGCCAAAGCTTGGGGCGCCTGGGGGGCTCAGTTGTTGAGCGTCTGCCTTCGGCTCAGGTCATGATCCCAGGGTCCTGGGATCGAGCCCCGCATCGGGCTCCCTGCTCCGCGGGGAGTCTGCTTCTTCCTCTGCACCGCCCCCGCCCAAATAAATAAAATCTTAAAAAAAAGAAACCGCAAAGCTTTTGCTGGGTACAACAGGGTATATTTATAGTTTCAGTTCTCCAACATCTTAGCTAACAATGTACTGAATCAAAAGAGTTAGCCATTGATGAGAGAGGGAGGGAGAGGGAGAGGGGGGAAGGGGGGGAAAGGGAGGGAGAGAGAGAGAGGGAGGGAAAGAAGGGGGAGAAAAACAACCTAAGCTATTAACTATCTTCACTACCGATTTACCCAATGGCCTTTGGTAAGTACATTTCTCAAACGTATGTTTGAGAAAATGTTGATAATGCCCTCAGGGTCCCCCCACGACACTGCAAAACACACTCACATGGCTCCAGATAGAATGACTACTGTAAAGAGTGTATGTTTACGTGATGCCCCATCTCAGTCTTTTGGACTTTGTGACTTTGGATAGGATCCATTTCCTTGGTGATTTTAAATGATGAGCCTAAGGTTTTGTCTCACTAGCCTGATGAAATCATGATTTGGGGATAGAGTCCAAGGCCCCAGAGCTCTCTTTGGTCCCCGGTATTGACATGAATCATGAATCTGTGCTGCTAAACATTCAATTCCTCCTCCTCCCCCCTCCCCCGCTCTGTCCTTTCCCCCCACCATCTGTGTTGCTTAATGAATAAGATTCTTAAATATAAAAGGAACATATGTAAGATTTTCTAAAACCCATATGCCAAATTAAGAAATAATCACACTGACAGCAGTTAGCAGTTTTCATAATTTAATGAAAAAGTATTGGTAAAAAGGTGACATTTGAAAAAAGACTGAGTTTATCTTGGAAAACTGGACTATATAAGACAAAATGAAAAAAAATAACAAAAGAAGGTTAAGAGGTAATACTTCAAACAACAGCAAAATGTAGCAAATACATTTTGGGGCAATTGAAATTTATACAACTGAAGGCTCCTTCATTTACTTAGGAAAATCCTGTAAAAATATTACAACTATATTTCCCTGACTGAAATGATTTTAGTCAATCCTCTCCCAATGGCATTACATATGGAATTTGGCTGAAGCACTTTTTCAATGTTTGCTTTTCCTCGCACTCACTCAGAATCAAAAGGCATGAAAGGACACAGGCTGTGATACTGGCCTTGAACAGAAGGAGTTTAGAACACAGGTCCATTATAAATTTCATTCCCAGGAAGGTGTCAAATTCATATCCACCCCAGCAGAACTCAGAGAAAAAGCACAGGAACCTAGTGCATACAGACGGGAAACAGTCTCCCTCATTTGGCGAATTCATCACTGTTTCCATCCGAGCAGAACACGGGGTGCCTTCCACACATGCTACGGCGTGTTCACACACGTACACGGGCATAGAAGAAACATCGTCAAGGTGTGGCCAAAGGGGAGGCAAAATGCAGACGTTTTCCAAAAAGGAGGAACAAAGCAAAAGCCACGGAACCCACGAACAAGGCTGCAGGAACGGAAGCGGGGAGAGGAGCAGGGCTGTGTTTCCCATGTTGGCGGAAAGCGGAGGAGCCCCGGGCTGCCGGGCGCCTACCGCAGTGGGGCTGTTGGCTCACCAGCAAGCAACGTTAAAAATCTAAAAATGGCCTCTTTTGTCTGAAAACTCCCACTACACTTTCCCAAACTAGAAGAAAGAGAATATTAATTTAAGGCTAAGAAGAAAAGAGAGCAGAGAACTATAGTCGGCTTCACATTTTAAAAACTGTAACATTTCCCCCTTCTTTAAATGGGAAGCAGACGTGTTTTATCCCCCCCCCGCCCACACACACATGTAATTATTCTCTTCCTCCCAGAAATCAGTCAAAGCTGATAGTTTGGGAACAGGGTATAAGCAACTTCTGAAAAATGGCTCCAGCCTTTTTGTTTGGGAAACTGCCTCGGATTCAAAGTTGGTACAAAGCTAAATTATATCCATGTGTTAAACACACGCTTTCAAATTCTGTTTGACAATAAAAATCTGTTTCAAAATTAAAGCAGGTAAGAATACTTAACCTCTGTGCATTTTACTATATTTTAATTATACCTCAATAAAAATTTTATAAACATTAAAGCAGGTATACAAAAACTGTCAGCCAAACTTATTTAAGTCAAACTGATTTGAAAACAATAACACAAAAACCCTGACCTGGTACAAATCCCCCAGAATTGGTCTCACTTTGGGAAAGGCTCTGGGATCCTTCACAAATGCCTAAGTTGCAAGAATCAGAGCACTTTCCTTGGAAGTAGTACTTTTTTTGTACCTTTGTAAACACTATCCACAAGTTAGCCTTTTATGCTTGTTAGACGGGTGAAGTAGTTACAAGTGCGTCCCCAACAAGCAAGTCTAGGAACAGGCACTGGACACTCAGAAGCATTAGGAGTACTGACTCGGTAAGGTAAGATACTGCGAAAAGAGCTCAACCTTGTGCGGAGCAAAGGAAGAGGGTAGTGAGTCTGACAGTATCTGAGATGTCGGTCCCTGGTCTCTCCCCGCGGCAGGTTCCCAGGTACCAGTGGAGTTAGAAACTGCCTACAGACAGGGGCTCTGGGAGTCACAGGCTGTAGCTTCAAAAGATAAGTAGTTTTAGTGTCTGATAATCATGGTCTCTTGCAAATCCGTGAAGGACGCAAGGACTCTTAATACGTATGTACGTCAATGTGTTGATGTGACTGGAGAGCTGTCCCCAAGTATTTACTGAGCAAGTACTCTAGGCCCAGCCGTTCTCAACAGCCTCTGGCAGGAAAACTTCCGGATAATCTGCAATTCTTATAATGTGCTTGTGAAAACTAGACTTGGAACTGTTTCAAAAGCTGCAAGCCAATTTACTGTGGAAACATTTTATTCTTTTCACTACAATTCCTCCTGACATATGCTAGAATCCTTTTGGTGTGGGGGTTTCCCCCAATGTATGGGGCAAAGGCAAAGATTACGCTACTCTTGGAGGTTGCTGATCACCTCTGCATCGAGCTGTGGGAAAGGGGATGTGTCTTGCTTTTGCCATGGCAATCCCGTCGAGAGTCATGGGGAGGATTTTCCCTGTCTGAGCTAACTCTCCTTACCCTGACTTTCTCTTTATTCCCATCACTTTCTGCCTCTGAATCACTCAGCTCCAAATCTGGGCAATACCCATCGTTTTCCTGATAGGGAGCTCTCCCTGCAGACCGCCTGACAAGCTGCTTGCCCCAGAGCTGCTCCTTGGGGTTAATATTCTTGGTTGGCTTTGCACAGCACTGGAGGTCCTCTGCGGTCCTCACCCACCTGCTGGTGGCCTCCTTGAAGGACCTGCTAAAGTGTTCCACGGTAGATTTTCTAAAGGTGCCCTGACTGGCCAAGTGGGAGCTGAGCATGGACTCCTGGTCACAGAACATGGCACTCGAGCTGTCTTTTTGGGTGACATCTCCAGACCAGCTGCCCTCCAGGCCGTTGGATCTGGCAAGCTTGGAGGTAGGCTGACTTTTCCCGTTCCCCATGGAAGACTGTCCATGCAGGGCAGCCTGAAGGACCAGAGGCTTCCCCAGCGACTGCCCGTGATAGAACTCTGGAGATGGGGCGCTCCAAGCAGGACTGGGATCCTTCGCTTCGCTCCTAGAGTGGCTGAGACTGGCCAGCACACGGTTATTTTTGCTCTCCAGTGGGTGTCGCGGGTACGGTCTCGTTCTCGTTTCTAGTGACTCCTGAGGCACCTGTGCGCTCCTTATGCTGTGGGCAGGGGTGCTGCTAGCAGAGGACAGGGCTCCGGGCTCAGGCTCTGCGGGGCTGTCTCGGCAGTCTTCTGGCGCTGATTTGGGCATTTTTAACTTTAAGGTAATTCTTGGTGGTGGGTAAAACAGTGAGTTTTCTAGTGCATTTGTCAAAGGAAGTCCTGAAAGCAAAAAGAAAGCTTGATGTTCACACCCGATTTAAAGAACGGCGCGCGTGCTTACTGCAGCACAGAGGGAGCACCGAGCCGCTCCTGCGCGTGTCTGACAAGCCCCGGTCTCGCTCTGGGTGTGCGTCGTGGCACGGAAGCTGGAGTGGGCCGGACGGGAGGTGGGGCGGGGGTACCACCGGGGGAAACTCAGCGATGCCACCGTTCACTGTGTGGCTCTCGGCCTCCTCCCCTCTGCCCTCCCAGTTGTAAAGTGATCCCAAAGACGAGTGCGCCACCCCCTATGTCCCCAGCTCTGCCCCCTCCATTTCTGAAAGGAACATCACTAGCCGTGGTTTAGGACAGGGTCTCCCTATCTGTGTGCGCACGTGTGAGTACTGTACAGCACTTGGGATGTGTCTTAAAAAGGTTTCAGACCCTACCCTCCAATCTCTTCTGTCCTTCCTAAAGCAAGTCAAGTATCAACCCTCAAGGACATAGCACAGGCTCTGATGGGCGAGGAGTAGGTGGATATGTGCTTTAACCTGGCAACAGCAGAGATGGCAGTGGGTGGTTCCCGTGTATTTTATGTCCTGAACCTAAAATAATTTCCCGACGATGAGTGGCCATCACGGAGGTGTGGGGCAGGCTGTGCAGTGGCAAGGCCAGCAGAGAAGAATCACAACATTCCTGCCCATGACCTGCTCTGGGCTTGGCCCGGGGAGTACTGGCAATCGGTTACCTGGTTATGTCATCCTACGATCATATTTAGAACAGATCTTCCTTTCTCTATTACTTGGAGCGCTCTGAAATGAAAACAAGCACTACCGAACAACTCCTCCTTGCAGAGGGACTTCACCTTGGGCCACGAGAGGCCAGCCAGTAGGTGCCTAGGCTGCGCGTGGTCCCTGAGGGTGCGTGGTGAGTACCACCAGCTCTCATCCCCGCCAGGGGCTGCCACCTGCCGACAGCACAAGCAGTCACAGGGCTGGTTCCCACCCAGCAGAAGCCACATGGTCTCAGGGCCAATCTCCTTGGCACGCGCGGGCCCCTCCCTGCTGTCCTTTGGTTTGCCTTGTCTTGTCCGTCCCGGTGTCTTTGTGGCTGAGCAGCCCCGCTCCCACCTGCTATACCATTCTGCTGTGACCCACGATCCTTACAAATACCCCAGAGCCTCTGATGCCTACGTGACACCTCATTTCTGCGTGTCTCTCTTACTCTAGCCGGAGCTAGATTCTGTGCACCCTGCATAGTGACTCCTGGCTGCCCAGGCTCTGCCACCAACCTCTGTATTAAATGAGGTACGGGGAGGTTACAAATGTCACCCAACACGACTGTCATTGCAGCCAAGCTCCCCATGCTTAGGGCACTGTAATTATGCTCACTTGTCTCTCTCACCAAGTGGGCAGCATACCCTACAGGCGGGGATTCTGGCTGGCTGACGGCTCCGCTCTCTAGCTCAGTTCTTAGGCCACAGTAGGTACTCGACAAATAGTAGTAAAGAAGAGACAGAACCCAGATCTCCTAACTACTGGCTAAGGGTTTGTTTTAACAAATTACTGTTAAGATGAGTAACCTTGGAATTAAACGTTTTCTGGAAACTAGGATTAGATCCTATCCTACTGATTTCTAAATGAATCTGATGGTTATAGAATAATTTCATGGCTTTAACTAGTGGCCCTTGGTATCTGTCTCACACCTAGATTATCTGCCCTAAACCTGCAAGTCCCCCAACCCCACCTTGAGATTTCTTGCCTCATGAGTTGACAGTGAAATGGGCCATGTTGTATCAGGGTTGGACTAGAGCAAATGAGATATTTGACAAGAATTTTAAAACATTTTTAGGTAAAACAATTGACATAAAATTTAAACTGTTAAAGTAGGATGTAACCAGAGTCTATATCAGGACATCTTTAATATAAGGTTACCTGCAGCAATTTCCTGGTTAACAAGCTGGACTTGCAAACCGAAGATCTGTTCCTGTATTTTGTTCTGTGATAGTTTCAGCTTCTCTCGCCTGCTTATCATGTAGCACAGATTTCGGACCTGAAAGCCCAACCCGCAGCAAACAGAGATTTTTGTCATATTACGTAAACCTGACAATTATAAATTGTTTAGCTAAAATGAAGACAACTAAAATCAAGCGGGGTATGGGGGTGGGTGAGGAGAGAAGTCAGAGCACAGAAGCTGCAAGAGGGCCACTCTACAGGAATTCATGTAGCACGGCAGTCAGGGGATCACGGTCCCCATATCAATCAGCAGCACAAGCAAGACGCTCCTGAGCCGCCTCGTGGAACCTCCTGTCCCTGTGGTGTGATGGGCCCAGTGTTTATCTGCACAGCCGAGCTGGGAAGACGGGGTGAGGATTGAACATTTTGGCCTTCCCTTCAGATGCCTGAATAAAACAATGGTGATGCCGGGTCCAGTACAATTTTCTAATGAGTGCTGGACCAGCAGGATAAATGTCTGCTGGGAAGACTCAAAGTGGCTTTTTTGCTTACACCTCCAGCTCGGCCAAATCTCCACAGTCACAAGGGGGCAATCCTCATGCTCCCATACTCCCTGCCCCACCTAGACAAATCACCCCACCTTTCTGAGCCCCAGTTTATTCATCTGTAAATAGGGCTAACAATAGTACTTTCTTCATTGGCATGTTGGGATTAAATGAGTTAATATTTATGAAATGCTGAGAGCAGTGTTGTCACATAGTAAGTGCTATAGATGTGTGAGTTCAATTTTACAAAGTGAGCCAAATCTATTCCCTTCCAAATTCTGGTAGCAGAGAGAAAAACAAGCCATCTCCATAATTCTACTTGATTATAAAATTCTCTAGGGTAAACACAGGGCCTAACTTATCTTTGAATAAGTGAGTTAAATGGAATTATCTGGTGTAGAGTATCAACCAGAGGCGATTCTGACCCCCCAGGAGGCATTCTGGTAATCTGGAACCATTTTTGGTTGTCACAGCTGGGTATGTTGGGCGGGTATTTGTTGGGGGCAGGTAGAGGCCAGGGATGCTGCTAAACATCTTACCGTATCCCCCACAACAAAGGACAGTCCCCTACAGCAAAGAACTATCCAGCCAGAATGTCGGTAGTGCTGAGCCTGAGAAACTCTGATCTAGTTCTTCCCTCAACAAAATTCATTCTCTCTTCAGTCCATAGTCTCATGTGTCAGTAAAATATAGCTGAGCCAATTTAGGCTCAACAGTGAATAAGAAGTAAACCAAATGAGAATTTATTTCAGATTTAAGGGTCCTACAGCATATAAGTGAGGGTTCTCTAATTCCCTTGAAAGTGCCTGTCAAAAGTTTAAACAGAGTCTAATGTTTGGGGCCACTGTGCGATCAGAAGATAAGCAAGGACACAGAAGCCCACACTATAAATGAGTTGGCCTTTAGAAAACAACAAACTGGAAGCAGGGCCTCCATTTCTATGCAGACCGAGACCTAAACAGTAGCCACAGCTGATCACCTTACCCTCTCTAGGTCTTGCCGTAGATGCATAAACATTCTCATGCGAGTGTGAATACTCTCCTCTTTTGGCTGCACCAGGCCGTTTTCTTCATCCTGCTTCGGAGGAAATAACGGCTTATTGAAGTTACTTTTCCGCTTCAGTTTCCAGTAGTTATAGATAAAGTCCACGGCTAGTGTGGGCAGCCCCAGCTCTGTGGCCACATCTTCCACGCGGACCAGGGAATAGAATTCCTCCTCCAGCTCCCGAAGCTTCTGTGCCCGCAGGCCGGTTTTCTCACTTTTGGCCTGGCTCTGCTCTGTAGCCCTGTGTAGGGGGTACTCAGCCTCCCCGAGTTTCTGCCTATTTTGGCTGTGCTTGAGGCAGTAAGACTTGAACTTCACTTCATCGCCCTCATCGAGGATGGTCTTCATCTCCAGGCTGTGCTCAAAGGCACAGGTGACGTGGAAGGCAGTGATGCAGCTTTTCACAGAGCACTGTAGGAAGAACAGATGTGTTAAGGCAGCAGGGCTGGGGGACGGAGAGGGAAGCCCTATATCCCTCACGGGAAGCAAAGGAAAGGCACGGAGAGAACTGGTCCTAAATTGACCATGACAGATGCTTTCCAAGTAACCCAGGAAATTTGCTTTATAGAAAACCGAAAGAAGAGAGGGAAAAAAAAAAAAGTTCAAACTCCCCTTTCAGGTTTTAGCTCAAGCACTCAGTTTTTCTGAGAAGTCTTCCCTGACCCCTCTGAAGAGTCATGCTGTACCTGCTCTGTGTCCCCCACATCACCTTATTATGTGCTTCTATAATGGTACTTTCCACACTGTACCTACAGTATAGTAAATGTCAAATCCCCGGCTAGAGCTCTTAAAGACAGAAGCTGTGCCATTCATTTTTGCATTGCTATCAACTTTTGAACAAGCAGGTGCTCAAGAAGTGCTTCTAAAAAAAAAAAGAAATGCTTCTAAATAAACAAAAGAAAAAACAAAGTCAGTATTATTGCCAGAGTATCTACTGGTTCTAAAAAGGCCACAGGCTCTCCAATATCTAAGTAACCTAACTTCTTGAAATTGTTCTTACATAGGGGTGCTGTCCAACATGGAAGCCAACTAGCCAAAAGTAGCTATTTAAACTTAAATTAATTAAAATTATATACAATTAAAAAGTCAATTCCTTAGTCACACTAGCCACATTTCAACCATACTGGACAGCACAAATTTCCATCACTGCAGAAAGTTCTATGGAAACTAGGGCTACAGACAACCTGAGATTAAGTTTATAACATTCTGCCATTCATAGATGCAACACCTTTGTTAAGTAGCATGCACTGAGGGTTCGTTTACAGAGTGGCAGAGTAGGAAGAAGCCAGCCCGGGACTGCTGTCCTCCTGAGCTTCACTTAGTCTCAATTACCATGTGTTCTGGTTACAATGCTACAGCTTTCCTTCCAAGGATTTTAAATGCTTGGGTGCATGTATATGCTTACACAGAGGAGGGAGAGAAAGCAATGGAGGATTTGTTTCTAAAAATAGTGGGAATTCCCATGGTGAAAGCCAAGTCTCAACTCTTTTGGAAGCCTGCATCTGGGCGGCAGACTGCTCAATTACCTGTATGTTGGGTTTTCGATAACTACAAATAGGGAATGACCTTGGGCACGAATAAAGACTAAAAAAATGCAAACCCTGACAAGTTTCCTTATAATAGATGGAGAAATTCAACACCTAAGATAATACTGGTAACCATCAAAGCTTTAATGGGGACAGATTCCATTTCGGCTAATTTTACAGGATAAAGAATTCCAGAGATGAAATATAATTCTAAGATCATCTTATCCAGCTCCACATTTATTACTGCTTGTCCTTCCCTCTAGAGTACCTGATGTTCTACCTCCACTGCCCCGCCCCCCCCAACTCCTTCCACTTTTCAAGTAAGTGATAATCTAGCCACTTAAACTGCATTCCTGAGACAGCCCACCCCAGCTTTGGACAGCTCTACTGGAAAAGTTTGTTACCTTACACTGAAATCTGTGTCCTTAAAATGTCCATGTATTTGAAAAACCTCATGAAAATGATGATAACGAAAGCCAAAAATGTACTTTTATTTGGGCACCTTTTGTTATCACTTGGCTAAGAAACTAGCCAGTCATTTAGAGAACATATCATAGCAAAAGGCATTCTTTAGCAAAAGATTACAAGTGTTGGGCATAGTGCTCTTTCGCTGTTTAGTAACTGATAAAAATACGGGAAGAGAAAGCAAAAGGACTGTCTCCTATTCAAGGGGATGAATATGTGACATAAAACTATTACTGATAGGAAGCTAGGGGTGCCTGGGTGGCTCAGTCAGTTAAGCATCTGCCTTCAGCTCAGGTCATGATCCCAGGGTCCTGGGATCGAGCCTCACATCGGTCTCCCTGCTCGGTGGGGGAGTCTGCTTCTCCCTCTCCCACTGCCTCCTCCCTCCGCTCATGCTCTGTCTCTCTCCCTCTCTCAAATAAATAAAATCTTTAAAAAAGGAAGCTAAAAAGGGGGGCCTGGGTGGCTCAGTCATTAAGTGTCTGCCTTTGGCTCAGGTCATGATCCCAGGGTCCTGGGATCGAGCCCCGCACTGGGGCTCCCTGCTCGGCGGGAAGTCTGCTTATCCTTCTGACCCTCCCCCCTCTTGTGCTCTCTCTCTCATTCAAATAAATAAATAAAATCTTTAAAAAAAAAAGTCAGACAGGGGCACCTGGTTGGCTCAGTTGTTAAGCGTCTGCCTTTGGCTCAGGTCTTGATCTCAGGGTCCTGGGATCGAGCCCCACATTGGGCTCCCTGCTCAGCGGGAAGCCTGCTTCTCCCTCCCCCACTCCCCCTGCTTGTGTTCCCTCTCTCCCTGTATATCTCTCTGTCAAATAAATAAATAAAATCTTAAAAAAAAAGGGACGCTAAAAACCTGAAATGTCAGGTCAAATTTATAGACATATGTAGAGACATAACTATAAATTACTCAAAATAAAAGAATACATGAATAAAAATTGTGTACTTAGATGAAAATTGGAATGCCCCTGGGAAATTGCCATAAAATCCATCCAGTCGCAAAAAAAGGTCATTCTATGATATTTATAGCTGAAGGTCTGTATATTTTGGTGGTAAAGGAGAAATGCCAACCAAGTTTTGGTGCCAATCAAATACCTATTTACTTTTTTCCAAAAACATATAGTTAGAACATTATATTAAACAAAATGCCTTTATATACATCTAATTTATTTCTACTGTAACCACTTAAGATGACAGAGGAAGTATTATGATGCCCATTAAAATAACAGCTTTATTGAGATATAGTTTATGTGCCATAAAAGTCACCAATTTTAAGTATATATTTCAATGGTTTTAGTATGTTTACAGAGTTTTGCAACCATCACCACTACATAATTCTAGTACATTTTCATCATTCTAAAAAAGAAATCTCATGCCTACCTGTAGTCACTTGCTGTTTCCAATCCCAGCCCCAAGCAACCACCTAATTTAACTCTGTGTTTCTGGAGATGTGCCTATTCTGGACATTTCATATAGGAGGAACCATACAACATGTGGCATTTTAGTCTGTTTTTTTTTTTTTTTCACTTAGCATGTTCTCAAGGTCCAACCATGTTGTAGCATGTGTCAGAATTTCATTCTTCTAAAAATGTGGCCAAATACTGTTCCATTGTATGGATATACCACATTTGTTTATCCATTCATCACCTGATGGACATTTGACTTGTTTCCACTTTTTGGCTATTATGAAATAATGCTGCTGTGAGCATCTGTGTACGAGTTTTTGTGTGGATGTATGTTTTCATTTCTCTTTGGTAAGGTGCATTAAAGGATTAACCTTGCCCAAAGAAAGGTTTGGTCCTGTGCCCCCAGCTCCTAAGAGGTAACCTCTAAGCCTCTGGAATGTCCTGACTGATAAAAAGGTCTTTGTTTATCTGGGGTCCTTGGCCATGTCAGAGAGTCTACACTAACAATGTGATTTATGGTAAAGGCTTTGGGCCACATGGGATGAGCCTGACCTCTAGAGGGACTGGAGACTACGGTTAGCCATGCGGGTGGGTCAACTGTGTCTAAGTCACCAACTCCTGATAAAATCTCTGAATGCTAAGACCTGGATGAGCTTCCCTGGTTGGCAATACTCTGTGGATTATCACACATCATTGGTGGGAGAAATACACGCTGTCCACAAGACTCCACTTGGGGACGACAACTGGAAGCTCCATGCCTGGTCTCTCCTGGACCCTGCCCTATGTGCCTCTCCCCTTTGCTGTTTTTTAATCTGCATCCTTTTACTGTAATAAACGGTAACCATGAGTACAATGGCTTTTCTGAGTTCTGTGAGTCCTTCTAGTGAATTATTAAACCTGAGGGTGGGTCCTGGACACCTCTCAAACTGCAGGTATATACTTTGAAGTGGAACTGCTGGGTCATACGGTGATTCTACATCTAACCTACTGAGGAATTGCCAAATTGGTTTCCACAGTGGCTGCATGTTTTACATTTCCACCAGCAAAGCACAAGGGTTCCGATTTCTCCACATTCGTGCCAATAACTGTTATTGCCTGCTTTTTGACTATTATCATCCTAGTGAGTATGAAGTGGTATTTCATGGTGGTTTATTTATTTTTAGGGGGGGAAAGAATAATTTTCTATATATTCTTCAGAAATTATAGAAAAGAAGTGAGTTAAGAGATATTCTGTCACCCTCTAAAGAAAATAGTGTGTCCTCCTCAAAAGGGGATGACACCTGCCTGGAACAGCAAGGGCCTGGCGCTTATGTCCTCAGCAGTTCCTGTCCTGCTGCAGGACAGTGTCCATTTGGTTGTCTTTTATTTTTTTAAATTTTATTTTATTATGTTATGTTAGTTACCATACAGTACATCATTAGTTTTTGATGCATTTGGTTGTCTTTAATCCCAAATAATCTGTGAACAGACAACTGGGTGGTACAGTAATTTTCTCAAAACTCTTGTCACTGACACAATGTCATAAATGGTTCAAGCCAGCCTACAAAACCTACTCCAGCCATTCTATACTTAAACTCCATCACCCACAGTGGCCACCAGCCCTTCTGACCTCTCATCCCTAAGGGTCTGCAAGGTTGGAGGGCAGCTGTCACTTCAGTGTTATTTAACTTTTCCCATGTTTACATCCGGCCTCCCTTAATAGACTATAAACTCCTGAAGGCAGGGACCAGAAATCCCTTAGAACCAGAACAGTTTTTACTGACAAAATTTGGAATATATGAAAAAATATTAAGTACAGTCACTGAGTAGGCATACTTGCATTTCTCCACTTGTTGAAGATTTTCATTTGTTTTTAAAAAGTTCACTTTCCTCATAATCAAACTCCTATTAGCCCAACAGTAAACTCGTGGCAGCCCACTGATTTATCCTGACTTCAGATCCACTTGCATGTGATTTCAAACATGACCACATCCCTCTACTGTCAAAAGGGACACTTATCTAGCACCAAATGTTT